ATAATATATAATATATAATGTACTTAGAACACTGCCTGGCACATGGTAAGCATGATGTAAGAGTTCACTATTATTATTATGGCCTGATTCAACTGGTTTATCAACAGTTACTTCAATTCTATGCTCAGCATCTTGCAAGGTAAATATACTAAGTGCAAAACTAGAAGATACGAAAACTCAACTTTCAGCATCTGACTATGGCAAAGACAATCAGGAGGGCACATATAAGCAAATGTAGGACTACACGGCACTGTCTATAAATGCAAAGGAATATCATGTGGAGCTGAGTTAGCTAACGAGACTTCATGGGGATGATAGGTCCTAAAATGGACTTGAAACAAATGATGGATTTAGAATTAGAAGATACTGGTAGGCATTTTAACCCATTTCAAGGACTTAACTTTGGGAGGTAGGCCAGAGATGAAGCTCACACCTGAAATGGTGCTGAAGGCTTATATTTATGTTGGAAATTACAACTAGCTACTTTCTCAGACAGAAAAAATACTCACTCGGTCAACCCAAATATGAGGAACAGGGTGGCTTGACTCCAAGGCTCAGAGGATGAAAGGGGAGGAGCAATCAGCTCTCAGCTCTGGTTTGGTATTAGCCTTTTTGCTTGTTTTATCTTATATTATTTGGTTTGCGGGGGAGGGGAGGAGGGAAGGCAGACAAAGACTGGAATATATACATATGGGAAGACTGGCCTTAAGCCACTGCCTTGGGCCTAACCTGGCTCATCTGTCTAACCTTCTTCCACCCTTCCTGCTCAGCCTGAGAAACTATAGGAAGTGATCAGTTCTGCTGAATTATGGGGAAATAACAAAGGAGGGGGATGAAGGCAATGAAAAAAACTATCTGAAAGCCATTTTAGAGTAAAGTGGCCAATTTCAGAATTAGACACAGGAAAAATGCTTCAGTAAAAGCAATGTGATATGGAAGGGCACCTAATACCTAGGTATAGAAATTTAAGAAAGTCTCAAATATAAGGTGAAATAAATAAACAATTAAATAAGGTTACAGAAGAAGAAGCCCAAGGCTAGAGAGAACAAGGAATCCCTAAGAAGCTGGCATAAACTTCAAGACATATCACAGCCTTCCACTAGATCCTCTGCATTAACGTGCCTCCGTCCAGAGCCCTTTTGGTCTGGAAAATAAGCTCTCAAATTTTTCTCATCACATTTTATCCTTGGATCCTGCCACATTTACCCATTCATCACTCTTTGGTGACACCTAGTGGTATAATTTGTACCACAGCCCTAAATCAGTCAGGTCTGCTCACAAGGTAGTTGTAGAAAAGGATGAAAATTTCATGGCTGTATAAGAACAATCAAGTACTTCCCAGGATATGATCTCAAATACAATGGTTTAAATAAATCAAGCTCTGTTCAAATCTTTCTTGATGCTGCTTTTCATAATCACCAGCTTGAACAATCAGCAGCAGCACAGTGGAACCCACAGAAAAGCTGCCCAAAGTCTCCTAGCCAACAATGGGAGAAAAGTGGGATAACTCACACCCTCTTATACACTAATTGGCTCACCTGATACCCAATCTCTGTCCAGTTGTTTTTAAACAGTTGTTGAAGAGAGTGGAAACCCAAAGCCAAAGCGCAATGTTTTCTAGATGATTTACCTAGCTCTGTGGTTCTGAACCTTGGCTGTACAGTAAAACTACTTGGGAAGGTTGAAAACAAATAGCAGTGCCTGGGCCTTACCCCAGACTGAATTAACTGGTCTGGGACAATGCCTACAATCAATCTTTTTAAAGTCAGGTTTACATACAAATACATACAGTTGTGTGCTTCTTTCAAGATATAATGCCCCTTTGTAGTCAACCCTTTCCCATCCCCCAACTACTGATGTGTTCTCTGCCCTAGTCTTGCCTTTTCCATAATGTAATAGAAATGGAATCACACAGTATGTACCCTTTTGAGTCTGCCTCCTTTCATTTAGCATAATATATTTGAGATTCATTTATATTGCTGCATTACCAGTAGTTACTTTTTATTGCTGAGTAGTATTCCAGGGTGTGGGCATACCTCAGTTTGTTTATCCATGCCCCAGTTTATTTTTCCAGTTTTTGGTAATTATGAATAAAGCCACTATAAACAGTAATGTACAGGTTTCTATGCAAACATAAGTTTTCATTTATCATGGGCAAGTATCTAGATATGAGATTGTTGGGTAAGCACATGTTTAACTTTATAAGAAACTATCAAACTGTTTTTCGAAGTGGTGGTACTATTTTGTATTGCCACCTGCAATGTAATAGAGTTCCAGCTGCTCTATATCCTCACCAGCACTTGGTATTGTGAGTTTTATTTTAGCAATTCTAACAGGTGTTTATCTGTCAGTTTTATTTAAAAACTCTTTACTAAAGGATAACATGCAAACAGAAAAGTGTACAAATCATAAACGTACAACTAGATGAATAATCACAAAGTGAACATCACAGTGTAACTTCTACCAGGTTTTTTAAAAAAAACAAAAACATTCCACATAACCAGCATCCCAGAAAACCCTGTGCCTCCGGCCAGTCACAACTTCCTCCCAATAAGGTGACTACTATCCTGGCTTAATATCACAACATTAATTTTGCCTGTTTTTGAACATTAGATAAATGGCATCATGTAATATGCATTCTTTTGTGTCTGGCTTCTTTCACTTAATATTATGTTTGTTGGATTTATTCATGTTGTTGGATATAGCGGTAGTTTAATCACGCTCATTACAGTATAGTGTTTCATTGTAAGAATATTATACAGTTTATTTACCCATTCTACTGTTGATGAACATTTGGGTTGTTTCCCTGTGAGTGAAAATACTTCCTCATGAGATATATATATCTTTAATAAATAATGCCAAATAATTTTCCAAAGTAGTTGTACCAACTTATACTCCCACCAGAAGAGTGAGTTCCCCTTGTTCCACATCCTTGCCAATACTGAGCATTGTCAGCCTTTAATTTCAGTCATTCTGGTGGGCATGTAACAGTATTCCATTGTGGTTTTAATCTGCATTTCTCTTATCATTAATGAGGCTGAGCAACTTTCCATGGTTACTGAACATTTGGATACCATCTTTTGTGAAGTACCTATCTCTTGCCCATCTTAGAAATTGGGTTACTGTCTTTTTCTTATTGATTTGGAGTTGTGAATATATCAGAGTACAAGCCCTTTTTTGGTTATATGTGTAGCAAATGTCTTCCACTCTGAGCTTGCTTTTCACTCTTAATGCTGTTTTTTGATGAATGGAAGTTCTTAATTTTAATGTACTACCTTCAGCATTTTTAAAAAGTATCCCAAGTAACAGGCAAAAACTGCAAACAAGTGTAAAAATGACAAGGCAGTGGCATCTGACCTCCTCTAACTTCACAAGTGAGAAGGAGAATCAAGATCAACGGCCCAAGGCTGACTGCTATGAGGCAGGGGTTAGACATGCCTCCTCTCTCTGCCATCTTTACCAATTCTGACGCCAACTGTCCCTCCCATGGCACTCTCTACTTCTCTGCTGGGTTTGATAATTCACTGCAACGGCCACACAGAACTCACAGACAATATTCATGATTATGGGTTTATTAGGGAAGTAATAGGTTACAATTCAGGATCAGGAATGCTCAGGATACAGTTCTTCCATCAGGACAGCCTCTTCTCAGCTGTGCCAACAGGCACGCTGCTCTCTGGCCCCCAGACTCTGCCCTGCTCGGTCAAGTATTACAAAGTTCCTTTAGCTCTGCCGATAGGTGTTCAGAGGCACCCCACTCTGTCAGTGAGCCTCAACCCAAAGGCCTCAGCTGTAGCTCTGTGGGTCAGCAGACCTAGCTCCACCAAGCATCCAGAGGCACCCTACCTCTCCAGCAAGCCTCCTGCCGAAAGGCCATCAGCTTTCTCACTCTGTGGGCCTGAAGTCCATTGCGCTGTCTCGTGCTGCCATTTCTCTGCCACCACTTCTTGCTGTCTTCAGTGTTACAGCTCTCTCTCTCTCTCTCTCAGTCTCCTGGTTCCAGGAGCTTCTCAGCGTAGGGATCCTGGGGCCAAAGGACACACTCTGCTCTTGGCTCTTCTTCCTTGGTGGTGGTGAGATCCTCTCCTTCCTGCCTCGGGGATGGCTCATTTTAAGCCTAGCAGGATGGCAAAACTGACAAATCCCTTTGGTGGGCCATAATTACCTTATGTGTAGTTGGGTGGGAGTTAGAACACCATGGTGAGAAAGGCCACACAAAAATGATCTATCACACAGCAACAGGGTTGAGAACCACTACTTGAACTGCTGGGAGACCAGAAGCTGAACTGTCCCAAGCAGCAAGGTTTGTTCACACGGAGTATACTCACCACAGACTTCAAATGCCAGCGCCCACAGAAAGACAAAGGTAGGAATCATCAGGAAGCAGGTGAATACTAATAGGATAGAAGAAGACTGGGAAAGGCTCGGACAAGCCTGAGCCTCTAGGACTGGAAACAAGCAAACCCACCAAGGCATTTCAGACAGTAACTTCTTTAAAACAACTGCTTTTCTGAAAGAGCTGGATACCAATACAAAGAATAGATGTGAAGAGTGTCTCAATTAACGGAAATCTATAAAACTAAACCATCCTCATATTTTGTGTGCAGAATTAACTGTCTTACAAAGTTAAAACTTCTTTTATTGTGGTAAAATATATATAACATAAAATTTGCCATTTTAATCACTTTTAAGTGTATAATTCAATGGCATTAATTACATTGAAAATGTTGTGTAATCTTCACCAACTATTTATTTCCTAAAGTTTTTCATCACCCCAAACAGAAACTCTGTACCCCTTATATAATAACTTCTCCTTCTCCTCTCCCCCCAGCCCCTGGTAACCTCTAATCTACTTTCTGTCTATGAATTTGCTATTCCAGATATCTCATGTAAATGGAATCACACAATATTTGTCCTCTTGTGACCGGCTTACTGCACTCAGAATAATGTTTTCAAGGTTCCATGTCATAGTGTGGATCAGAATTTCATTCCTTTTATGGCTGAATAATAATTCATTGTATGTACATACATCGTGTTTATCCATTCATTGGTTGATGGACATCTGGGTTGTTTCCAAAGCTAGTTGTTTTTAAGCCAATTTTAAACCAAAATTGCATTTGTTGCACTTTTTTTTTCCTATTTTTTGAATACTTTATTGTGTTTTAGGTGAAAGTTTACACAGCAAATTAGGTTTCCATTTAACAATTTTTGTACAAATTGTTCCGTGACATTGGTTATAATTTTCACAATGTGTCAGCATTCTCGTTATTTCCATTCTGTTTGTTTTGTTTACATTTATCTAGCTTCCCTGCCCCTCCTTGCATTCTCATCTTTGCTTTTGAGTAAATGTTGACCATTTGGTCTCGAAAAATTGACTGCTTAAGGGAGCACATTCCTCATGGATGATATTGTTTATTTTATAAGCCAATCTATTATTTGGCTAAAGGAGACCTCCGGGAGTGGCTTCAGTTCCAAGTTAATAGGGTATCTTAGGATAATAGTCTTGGGGGTTCCTCTAGTAACTATTAGTCCAGCAACTCTGGTTTTGGTTTTTGTTAGGAATTTCAGTTTTGTTCTACATTTTCTCCCATTCTATCTGGGACCTTCTATTGAGTTCATTTACATTTTCTATTTAAAAATGAATTTTTTTTTTTACATTTAAAAATTCCTGGAACACGGGAAATAAGGGGTGGAAAGGAGGAGTGTGCTTTCACAGTATAGGGAGAGCAATTAGGGTCACATAACTATGTGTGTGTGAATTTTTGTGTGAGAGACTGACTTGAATTGTAAACTTTCACTTAAAGTATAACAATAAAGAAAAAAATGCCTGGAGCTGATTTTTAGTTATAGTGTGAGGCAGGGATCCAATTTCTTCTTTTTCTATATGGATTAAATTTTTCCCCATGAACAGTTACTCCTTTCCCCACTGATCTTACCTGCCATCTCTGTCATCTAGCAACATTACATCAGTGTGTGGGTCATTTGTTGCAGTTTTTGTATCTATACTTAAGCTCTCACTTTCTGGCCATTCCAGGAGATAAGAAACCATTTTATGAAGAGAGAACACAGATATGAGTTTTGAATTATGAGAAATATCTACCTCTTAAAAGAGACTTGTCAAGTGACTTCAAAATGACCATAACAATAATATCCTGTGGCTGAAACTCAAGTCCCTAATCAACAGAAGAGGGCAGCCAAGGCATCATGCCAGGAAGAAGCAGGCAGAAAGAAAGGAAACATCTGTTGAGCAAAAAAAAAAAGGGGGGGCTTGTACCTGTAAGAATAGTTGTGCCATCAAAACACCCCAGTCACAGCTTCTCGAAAAATCAGTTACCTCACAAACTGAATCTAAGCTAAGAAGCTTAACAAATTGTACAGAAAAGCTGTAGAGGAACCAGGAACCTATCTCTCCTCTACATTGTCTGAGACCAGAGAAGGAGTCACATAAGCCCTAGAAGAAAGAGTACAAAGCAAACACTGGGATGCAAGTCCAGAGCATTGTTACGATCTTAGATGGAAGAGGCTGCTCCTGTGCTCCTGTGGCTGACAGTCAAGAAACAGAAATCAGTCAGCCGGTGGCTTTCCAAGCTCTCAAAATCTGCTAATCCCATAAATGGAGCACAGCCATACAGCACATAATCAAGGGAAGAAGCAGCAGAGAACTCACCTCTTTAACACCATAAAACCTTATTTCTCAGACTGCCAATTCTGAAAATATCTTTTCCTGAGGTGTTTTAATATAAGCTATTGCAGAGGCTTTAAAATCTTGTAGCTACTGAATTGGCAAACGTTGTGTTATATATTATTTTTATAACAACAAAAATCTCACAGCTATATCTTAAATATATAGAATAATTATTTATTTTTTTAATCATGCACCCAGTATACCAAATTGCTTGTGACCTTTACTAGTATTTCACAACAGGGCATATTAAAGAGAACTCCCTGAGTTTGAGTCCTGCTCATTCACTCACTCACCAGTCAGTTATGCAGATGGACCTGGGCAAGTCAATTTATCTCTCTGGGCCTCAGATTCATCCATGCACAGAAGGTGTAAAACTAATCTCTAAGGTTCCTTTTTCAGTGCCAATTTCTATTCTGTTCATAGTGCCTTGCTAAGAGTACTGAACCAATTTACTTAGCATTTACACCCTCTCCTTCAACACAGTGCCAACTCAACTTAATCGTAGTGCAGGAGGGTATGTACTTTATGCATGCAAAATGAGGCTGCTAGGCAAGCCTCCTTTCTAACAAGTATCTTTCAAATCCTCCCAACCAGAGCAGTGAAGCAGTGTAAAATGGTGTCTGAAGACATTTCATGCTTCCTAATCCTTAACTGTTTACATTAGAATTTCTCTCACGACATAGTCTATATTTTCATTGTATTCCCTGGAGCTTATATATCTGCACTTTAGGTACTTCCTAATTGCTGGACTATACACTATTTCACCTCCCTTAGTATATTTATAATAGCCCAGTGGTCTTCAAATTTGCTTAACGAAGAAAAACCCCTTATTCAAAGAAAATTTTCCTTAGAACACTAATATACAAGAAAACAGTGTTATAGATTGAATTGCGTCCCCCAAAAATGTGTATCAATTTGGCTAGGCCATGATTCCCAGTATTGTATGATTATCCACCATTTTGTCATCTGATGTGACTTTCCTATGTGTTGTGAATCCTATCACAACATGTTAACGAGATGGATTAGTGGCAGTTATGTTGATGAGACCTACAAGATTAGATTGTGTCTTAAGCCAATCTCTTTTGAGATATAAAAGAGAGAAGCGAGCAGAGACATGGGGACCTCATACCACCAAGAAAGCAGCACTGGGAGCAGAGCGTGTCCTTTGGACCCGGGGTCCCTGCACGGAGAAGCTCCTAGTCCAGGGGAAGACTGATGACAAGGACCCTCCTCTAGTGCTGACAGAGTAGCAAAGCCTTCCCTTGGAGGTGACGCCCTGAATTTGGACTTGTAGCTTACTAGACTCTGAGACAATAAATTTCTCTTTGTTAAAGCCATCCACTTGTGGTATTTCTGTTATAGCAGCACTAGATGACTAAGACAACAGGTTTTAAAAATTCTGATTGAAAGCAGTGGGAAGGAGAAGGAGCTAAGTACAGTAAGTTCAGCTTCTCCTATCCCCTGGTGTCCCCTGGGCCACAGATGTACTCCAGAAACTTCAGCAGATTCCCAGGGTCTTTGGACCTTCCATTCACAAAGAGTTAATTCCCCCAGTAACTTAGTCTAGTTTCTGGAACAGGACCTACTGCCCCAATTCAGGCGTTTCCTTCAAAATAACTCCAACTTAAAAGTCATTAGAAATTATTTTGGCATAATTTAATCTCTGGCAGTATACAGACGCAATTACCGCTGAAGAAGTGGGTGACTAGGGGAGAAAAAGATATACCTTCGATCTTTTGAATTTTGTACCATGTATTACCTATGCAAAAAGAAGTAATTTAAAAATAAATTTAAAAATTCAATGGAAGCCATCAGGCTTCTGTGAATTCCTGTACCTTGTTGTCCATAATTGTCCACTGGCCTTCGGCATTCTGCTTCAAAACACAGTGGTTTCGGGAAATCATCAGAGGGCAGCTTTTTGATACCAGTTGGTATGTGACACCAAATCCTCGCCCTATAGTCACCTAGAAGACAATAACAACGTAAAAGGCACAATCACACAATGTGCCAAAAAGAGAGGTCCTTTACAATCTGGTCAACCAACAGAAACCAGACTCCTATGGAACCTAAACAGCTCATCTGCTATCAGCTACCATGGAGACACCAACACAAAGCTTTTAGAAAATGGGGATTCAGAAGTAGAAAAAGGCAAGAAGTTGTGACAAGAAGACACTGCTGAAAGGAGTTTATTATGGACTCTTGGGACTGGTAGACCCTTAAAGGTCATCTGAATGATCCGCTTCAGCTACTCATGAGATGGAGGAATTCTTTCTACACATCCCCATCAACTAGTGTTAAACACTACCAAGAACTACAGCCACTATACAATTCCTCCAATTTTTTAAATTATTATTTTATTTTATTTCTGGTGAAAATATACACAGCAAAACCAGCTCCCATTCAACAGTTTCTAGACATCATGATCAGTGACATTGGTTACATTCTTCACATTTTATCTACATTCCCATTATTTCTGTTCTAGTTGTTTCACTCCCATTGACTTAAACTCCCTGTCCACAACATTCTCATCTATGCTTTAGAATAGGTGTTGTCTATTTGGTCTTATATAGATAATTTATGAAAAGAATGCAATACTCAAGGGTCACGAGCTTTACTTTTTGAGCTCCACTGTTACTTAGTTTAAAGGTGACTTCAAAGGATAGTTTTGATTCAAGGTTTGAAGAGTAACTCAGGGCCAATAGTGTTGGGGACTCTTCCAGCCTCAAAAGGTCCAGTAAGTCCGTATTCTTCAAGAATTTAAAGTTCTGTTTCACATTTTTCTCCCTTCCTATCAGGATCCATCTATCGTATCCCTCATCAGAACCTTCAATAGATGCAGCCGGGTACCATCTAGTTCTTCTGGTCTCAACGCAGAGGCAGGAATTCATGGAGACAATTAGTCCTGTAGTCTGATTCCTTCTCTGATTCTTGGGTTTCCTTCTTTCTCTTCTGTTCAGACGAATAGAGATCAATAGTTGAACCTTAGATGGCCATTCATTGCTTTTAGGACCCCAGATGCTACTCACCATTCTGGGAGGTAAAACATAAAGTTTAAGAACTATATTATGCTAATTGACTGGATTGTCCCACAAAACCATGACCCTAAGCTTTCAAATCAAGAGAAATAATCCTGTGAGGAGACTGGTTATTTCTAAATAGTATCAGCTTTGGTAGCCCCTGCTCGTTTTTTGGTTCTTGTTATTGTTGCAAAATTATATAGAAACTAGTACTTGCCAATTCATCCTTTTTTCTTATGCTTACTGACATCAATTATATTAGTCAGGCTGTGCAAACTTCACCTACATTCAGTGATGCCTTTCCCATCACCATAAACAAAAAGTGACTACTACCTAGGGAATACTCCCTCCTCCCACCCCCACCCCGCCTAGTAACCACCAATGAACATTAGTCTCTGTATCTCCAATTTTTTTAAACATTTATTTGTTGTTGAGAACATACACAGCAGAATGTATACAAATTCAACAATTTCTACATGTATAATTCAGTAATGCTGATTACATTATTCAAGTTGTATAACCATTCTCACCTTCCATTTCCAAATTGCTCCTCTCTCATTAACATAAACTCACTGCCCCCTAAGTTTCCTATGTAATCTTTCGAGTTGCTGTTGTCAATCTGATCCCAGATAGTTCTTAAAAGAGCATAATGCTCAAGGGTGACATTCTTTACTAGTTAAGCTAAACTACTGTTTGGTTTTAAGAAGACCTCAGGGGATACTTTTGCTTTAAGGTTTAAAAATTATGAACAACTGCTTCCTTTGCTAGGAGACCAGAAGAAGTGGGCAGTGCCTGGCCACTACTACCAAATGCCCTGATCAAAGATTCTGTAGAATTCTGATCAAAAGGGGGAAAATGTAGAACAAAAACCCAAATTCTCATAGAAACCAGACTTTCTGGAGCCATCAAGGCTGGATGAACCCCTGAAACCACTGTCCTGGGATAATCCTTTTTATTTTTTAAATAATATTTTATTGTGTTTTTTATGAAGGTTTACATAGCAGTTTAGGTTCCCACTTAACAGTTTCTACACAAATTGTTCAGTGACATTGGTTACATTTTCAAATCTTTGAACAGTCTCATTATTTCCATTCTGGTTGTTCCACTTTTATTAATCTAGTTTCCCTGCCCCCCATACATTCTCACTTTTGTTTTAAAGTAATTGTTGACTGTTTGGTCCCACATAGATAATTTTTTAAAGAAGCACAGTACTCACAGGCAATATTCTTTCTTTTGTGGGCTAATCTGTTATTTAGCTAAAAGGTGACCTCAGGGGCTAGTTTCAGTTCAAGGTTTAAAGGGTACTCCTGGGCACTAGTCTTAGGTAGCCATCCAGCCTTAATGAGTCCAGCAAGTCTGGTTGGTTTGTTTGTTTTTAAGGAATCTGAGGTTCTGCTCCACATTTCTCTCCTATTCCATCAGGGACCATCTACTGTGGCCCTGGTCAGAATGGTTGGCAGTGGCAGCCGGGCACCATCCAGCTCCTCTGGTCTCAGGGCAGATGAGGCCATGGTTCCTGTAGACTAGCGTCTTCTTTGAGTCTTTGGTTTCCTTCTTTCTCTTTTGCTCTGGATGAGAAGAGACCGACAGTTCTATCTTAGATGGCTGCTTGCAAGCTTTTAAGACCCCAGACACAACTCACCAAAGAAGGATGTAGAACATAAACTCTGTGAATTATATTATGCCAACTGACTAAGATGTCCTAAGAGACTATAGTCCTAATTCTTCAAACCCAGGAAACAAATACCGCTGTCTAAGAAGTATCTGTAACTGTGCTCCCTATGTGCTTTATTATATATATGAATATTTGTGCACACAGTCTCACATACACGTATATACATATACATATGCATACACCTATGTACATACCTACACACATATTTGTCTACATACTTACATATATAGCCGCACATATATTTTTTGGTTGTTGCTGCTGTTGTTTCAAAATTATATATGGCATAGCAATTACCAAAACATCCTTCTTCCTTGTATACATTTTAGTGACATTGTTTACCTTCGTCAAGCCGTGCACGTTTCACCCTCGTTCACTGTTACCTTTCCCATCACCAAACATAACAAGTGCCTACTATCTAGAGTATGTACCTCCAATTTTTTTTTTCTTTATTGTACTTCAGATGAAGATTTACAGAATAAACTAGCTTCTCATTAAACAGTTAGTACATATATTCTGTTATGACACTGGTTAACAACACCATCACATGTCAACACTCCCCTTCTCGATCTTCGGTTTCCTATTACCAGCTTTCCTGTTCCCTCCTGCCATCTAGTCCTTGCCCCTGGGCTGGTGTGCTCCTTTAGTCTCGTTTTGTTTTATGGACCTGTCTAATCTTTGGCAGAAGGGTGAACCTCAGGAGTGACTTCATTACTGAGCTAAAAGGGTGTCCGGGGGCCATACTCTTAGGGGGTTCTCCAGGCTCTGTCAGACCAGTAAGTCTGGTCTTTTTTGTGAGTTAGAATTTTGTTCTACATTTTTCTCCAGCTCTGTCTGGGACCTTCTACTGTGATCCCTGTCAGAGCAGTCAGTGGTGGTAGCCAGGCACCATCTAGTTGTATTGGACTCAGTCTGGTAGAGGCCTTGGTAGTTGTGTGTACCTCCAATTTTTTAATGGCTGACTTGGCATCTTTCTCCCTATAAATTCCATTCATTGTCCCTGGCTCTGCCCTGGGCACCATCAGAAAATCTCCAATCCCCTTTCCATGTGACAGCTATAAAGTGTCCAGAGTCTTGCCTCTTCCTGGTTCTGTGTCCCCAGCTACTTCAACCTAACACCCAAGGCATGGGTTTGAGTCTCTTTGCCATCCTAATGAGTCTGTGAAGATACTTCTGGTTTATCTTTATTCCTAGATGTCATATTAAGAAAAAATAAATATAATTTCTATTACACAGTAGAATGTAAGTATCACTTTCCCAGTTCTAGATATTATCACTATAGCATATAAATTGCATTAGCTTTCATAGCAGATCTATTCCACTGCTGATATATCCCCAAGCTTAGGAATGATTAAATTTCTGGATCTCTCCCCCACCAAGAATTGCTGTGCTAAGCATGTCTCGTCTGCGTTATGCTTGACTAGTTGGTAAATTTGGATTAAAGTACAGGACCTTACATTGATTCCTATTAAATTTCATCTTCTTAGTTCAGCCTATCATGCCAGCTTGTCAACACCTTTCTGAATTTTTAATCGGTCATCAGACATACTCAATAATCCTTCCAGCTTTGAGTCACCCATCCAATTGATATGACTTCTGTACCTTTATTCAAGACACAGATAAAAATATCAAAACGGGACATAGCCAAAGGCAAAGATCTCAGGAAAGTCTAGTAAACATTCTACCATACTATACGGGTTCACCTTTGACCAGTTACTAATTCAGCCTTTGCAGTAAGCCCATATTCTCCATCTCATCCATAAAGACAGCATGAGAGCCTCTGGAAAAAACTCGAAACATAGCCACAATGCCTATCTATTGTACTTTCCTGATGGATCAGTCTAGTTATTAGTAGTAACTCTGAAAAGGAAGGTAATAAAGTTCTTCTGAGATTCAGATCTGAGAACTTCCTATTTATTCTCTTCATTGTACACATGCCACCTGTTTAATGACCCATATTAGAACCTTAGCTAGCAACATTAAACCAAATGGTCTGTGGTTTTCTAAAAACTGCTTTCTTTGCCCCTTTTGAAAATCTTTCAGAATCATGCCTGACCTCAGACCTTCAAACACTACCACAACTCTCCCTGCCCCAATCTGAATCCTCCGCAAGAACTCTCATCTAAGTAACCAACACCACCATCCAACCAACTGCTCAGCCAAAACTCCAAGTCATCTTTGATTCATCTCTGTTCCTCATCCTCATATTCAAACACCAGCAAATTCTACTGGCTATAATTTAAATATGTCCTAAATCTGTTCATTTGTCTCTATG